ACACCACTTATGATGAAAAACTTAAGGATGATGACCTTGCCTTCCTTGCTAGGAATTTATGAAATTCCATAGGAATATAGACAAATCTTCTAACAGATATAAGAATCTAATATATCAGGAAGAGATAAATGTGAAAAGAGTAATTCTAGAAATTCTTCGAAGAGGTCTGCGAGGTGCCATGAGTGCCAAGGTTTTGGTTATGTAAAATCTTAGAATCCTAACCTGAAGAGAGACCTACCAAAGCTATGAATACTACTCTTACTGATGACAAGTCTAGCTTAGATAATCAAAATAAAAAGTCCTCTAATGATGAGACGGTGAAGTGTATGACATTCAATTTTGTGGTGAATAATGAGTCACTTGAGGATAAAGAGAAATCTGATGCTTCAGGAAGGGTTAGAAGATGATCGTGACATTTATGAAGCTTTTGATGAGCTATTTCAGGATTACCTTACATTGAAAATGGTCAATAATGCTGCTTTTAAGAAGCTACATAAGATGGACCTAGAGAAAGAAAGACTCATATCTAACCTTTAGGAGTCAAATTAAAATCTTAGTAAATTTAGACTAGTCAATGAAAATTTAGAGACTAAGGTTAAAACCCTAACGAGTGACCTTAAGAAATCCAATGCTCAATTTCTTTTTTCATGAGCGGATCTCAGAAAGTTGACAATCTTTTAGGGTTAAACAAGTTTGTTGGTAATAAAAGAGGTCTAGGATATAAGGAGACCGATCATAATATTGCTAATACTTTGAAGACCATTTTTGTCCTTGCAACTAAGTAGCCTAAGTATGTTGCAAATCCTGAACCCATGAACAAGTTTATCTTAAATTGTAAATTTTTCGTATATACAACGAAGCAGAGTAAAAAAACATGGCTCAAAATCAATAATGTTTTCTTTAAATTCCAGTCACAACTCAATTTCTGAGCATGTAAATCATATTTACGGTATTGGAAATGAGCTTTCTCGTGATTCATACAATGAAACAATATGAGATTTGTGCAAAGAAGGGGATATTGATAGTACCATGGCATTGCTTTCACAAATGGAGACTCTAGGGTACCACCTAAATTCAATAATTTACAATTGCTTGATAACAGCTCTTCGACATTAGAAGCGGATATAATTTTCAATGAAATTATACTTTCGGGTTGTAGGCCAGGAATTAAAGTGTTCAATGCATTGCTCAAAAGTTGTTTGAGAAAATGCCTCTTGGAACTTGCAAATAAAGTCCCGAGAGTTTTTGTTTTTCTCTTGTGCGAAGAGATAGTTTGCCAACTCTCCACACTTTGTGGAGTTTTTTTTTTTTTTGAGAAATTCAATATTAAATAAATTTTATATTTATAACAAATTATAAATCCATATATGCAGCTTACCGTATTTGCAAACAGCTTACAGTATATATAGCTTATCGTATATGCTGTCTACCGTGTTTGCAGCTTACCGTATTTGCAAACAACTTACCATATTTGCACCTTACCGTATATGCTGCCAACCGTATTTGCAGCCTACTGTATTTGCAAACAACTTACCGTATTTTCACCTTTCTGTATTTACAGCTTACCGTATATGCTGTCTACCGTATTTGCAGTTTACTGTATTTTTATATAATAATTTTTACACTTACAAATACCGAGAATGCAGAACACCGTACATTCACTTATCAAACCGAATTTCAAAAAAAAAATTAGATTTTTATTTTTTCAACATAAGCATAAAATAAATATTAAAAATATATGAAACACAAAATATAAATGCATATGAATATGATGCTCAATCTTCAATTTTCCAATATTGAATTACACAAAATTTAAAAATTTATCTTCATATACAACTCAATCATATCAACACTATCAAAGAATACAAGTAAAATAATTTGTATAATCTCGTATATTTCTTATTCAAATATAAAATATACAAATATATTTTTTCTAGAAGACACAATACTGTTATGCAATTGTAAAAATAATTTGCAATTATTTTCTTATATCATGGAAATATTTTTAGATATTGCTTCAAAAACTTTCCAAAAAATTAAAATTCATACACTAATAAAAATACGATAAATGCAAAATTTGTGCAACGCACGTGACAGTCACTGTGAGGAGATTTTTTTTTAAACTTCGCACTGTACGGAGAGTTTGCCAACTCTTCGCACCGTGCGAAGTTTTTTTTTTTTGCTTTTTTTACTCCGCATTATACGGAGAGCCCGCACTTTGTGATGACAGTGTCCACACAGAATGTCATCTCTCTGTACTGTGCGGAAAGTTTTGTCATGGTGTTTGCCATCTCTCCACACTGTGCGGAGAGATTTTTTTTACTTCGCACTGTACGGAAAATTTGTCAACTCTCCGCACTATGAGAAGAGTTTTTCTTCCTTTATTATTCGCACATGGTTTGCCAACTCTCCCCACTGTGCGGAGAGTTTTTTTTTTTTTTTTTTAAACTAATTTTTGAAAATTTTTTTTTTTTTTTTTAAAAACTTGTGGGAAAATTTTTTTTTTTTTTTTTTTTTTTGGCAGTCATGGCAGTGCGGAGAGTTTTTTTTTTTAAACTCATGTACGAAGAGTTTTTTTTTTGTACTCATGGCAGTTTATATTTATTAAAATTATTATTATTTTTTTAATGTAAGTGGCATTATGTGTGGAATAACATTTGTTTGACATAATTATTTTTTTAATGCAAGTGAGATGATGTGTGGAAGAACATTTGTTTGACATAAATAAAATGGAAGATAAAAAATGACATCATGCATAGTAAAATTGGATTAATTTACTATGCATGAATAGTAAACCCTCCTTCCCCTTTTTATTAGAAGTTAGATACACTGGAAAAGGGAAAAAGAATTTTTTTTTTTTTATTGGATATGTTATTTTACTATCAAATACTAGTAAGGTTCAAGATTGGTAAATTGAATTTCAATTAATTTTTTTTAAAACTTATTTGGAGTACTTTATATATGTTATTACATGTATCTTAAGCATTGTGCACATTAGACTCTTGTGAGTAGGTTTTGACCACATGTTTGAGATTTGGGATGGCAGTTATTTGTTTGGTGAATTGACTTTGAATATGGAATGATTTTTAACTGGATTGATTTAAGGTTTTGAAATTTGCTTATAGGAGTTTAATGTCACTTTTCACATGTATGGCTTATAAAATTTACTCCATTTATGTTTAAAATAAGTTTTATGAGAAAAATTTACTTTCTATGAATTATACATGTGTAACAAAGGGAATAACTGTTCATGATGATAAAAAAAACAGTTGGTCTCGTAATTGGAAAATTTTTACGCTCCCATCACATGCTTTTGCATAATTTTTCATCATTATACAAGTGAAATTGTTTAATTCATTCATCTCTATGTTTTAAATGATTATTACTCGCCTATCCTCTGTTATTTGTGACAAAAATTAGGAGATATGTTTATTTACTTCAAGGAGTTGATTATATGAGTTCTAGGGATAATTTTAAGAAATTTGAATATTTTGATTGATAGATGACTTAGGGGGAGTCATTGATATATTTGCTGGAATTTTATTATTCATATAGTATTGTATTCTGTTTATATAGATATAAAATTTTATGGTTTATTTCTAAGTTTATAATTCACATGACATTGCATGCTTCCATGTTACACATTTTTTACTATGTTGTTTTAAATAACTTGGTTGTTAGTTTCCTCTTACTTTTCATGTGGTATTGTAGTTTCTATGTGTTTCAGAAAGCAGGTTGACCAAGTATTAAAGAAAATTTTGTGGAGTTTATTTTTGGGTAGTTTTGGACTTTTTAACTTTGAAATAAATATGATTTTCTCAAGGAATGCCAAAGGGGAGATTGTAAAGTCTATTTTACATTTGACAATTTTTTAAGACAACAATCATAATTTATTAGAATTATATTATGATTTAGTTATATTGTAATCAAAGGCATAATAGGTTTAGAATAGTCCAAGTTAAGGTAAGTATAGTTGGGGTTGATAAAATCCAAAGAGAAGTCAAATAAATTCAAGAAAGAGACTTAAAGAAATTGATATACAATAGGACGCATTTTGGCTAGCCTGTCGCCCAGTTGCTGCTCAAGTGGCAGAAGTAGAATACTTGTTGCCCACCTAGCACTAGACTGGAGCTCGAGCGACAAGTTCGTTGCTCGCCTTTCACTAGCCCAGTGCTTGAGCGACAGTGTTACGAGGCAGAATCTAGTTTGCTTCAAAACACGTGATGTTCATCCCTAGTTCATCCCAAACACTTTTCCCTACACATAGTTGACCCCATTGACATCCGAAGCAAGTTGAATCATATTATTCCATAGAGATAGTTCCTTGAAGATCTATATCATCATTCCTTGATCTCTAGATTCACCACCATATCATTGTGTTCATAAAATCTTTTAAAGCCAAGATATTTCTTTGAACCATAAATTATTCTATCAATTGAGATACACATTGAGCCATTTATTTTCATATTCTTAAACATTAAACCGCTAATCAAAGCACAAAGATCGTTTGATCAAACATCAACCCAAAGAACGAGGAATTCTTCATTTAATCCACTGGAGATAAATTAATACCAATGATCGGGAGTTATTGCAAAAGCACAAATTCAGGATGATTAAGGTGAGATACTAAGAGTTGGGATCAGATGTCAAGAGTACACAATCCTGGACGGCTAAGGTATAAACCAGGAGTCAAAATTTGTTTTGAAGGAGCACATCTCTAGCAGGATCAATGGAGACTGCAGAAATCTATGGGGTAGGCAGGTTTGGACCGTACTGTAAGTTTGCTTCGATTATAGTGGACTACTGAGTGGCAAAGTGTCCAAAGTTTTTACCCAATTGGGGTTTCGTTGTAATCATCTTTGATGTTCTTTACTGATTTAATTATTGATTGTGGCAATCAAATAATACGATAATGGAACTTGATTGACTAATCACCTAGAAACAATTAAAAGGTGGCTTGTTTCTTTTAATTGCTTATTTCAGCATGTTGGGTCTTGATAAATCTGTTTATTAGAACTTTCATAATTAAAATTGTAGTAGGCAGAAATATTACACTTAACGGGATATACGTGATTTTTTCCCTTTATAACATCTCAGACCAATACGATCCGAAATCTTTATTCAACTAAGCAAGCAAACTAGTCTAACTTATCCAGAGGGGGGAGCAAAATCTTCGCTAACAATGGCTCAGAAAATCCCTTCCGGTATTTGTTTCTAAAGCTTGTTTTTGTACCAGTATACACCTTTCTTCTGGTCTCCCTCATCTGGTTCCACATAGATACACTCCTTGACTTCTCTCCACATTGCCTTAAAAATTGGTGTCCCATCAAATTGATAGTAATTCCCTAATATCAACTTGATTGCCTTGGTTGCCTCCATTGCATGATAGTGTGGCATTGTTGAGAAAAGATGGTGCGCGACATGAGTATCCGTTATGTTGTGGAATACCTTATTTAGAATCCCGTAATCTCTGTCAGCAGTTGCTAAAGCTCCGCGTAACCAATCCCACTCGGTGGAATCATAATGAGGCAGCGAAGGATGGGTATGCTGCAAATAAGTTATCAAAACTAGGAATCCATTGACGATGAGCAATGGACCACCATAAACGCAAAGAACCCAAATAAGTCCTCTAGCTGCCACAAGACAATAAAGCCCATAAATGACAGCAAGAACACCAGCATCAGAAATGAGGATCAGCGTACGCTCACTGTCCAGGTAAATCGGGCTATAAGGATCATAATGGCACGCAAAGCGTTCATAATGTCTACCCGAGGCATTGAACAGTAAATATAGAGGCCACCCTAAAGTTAGCTGGACGAGAAGTATGATTACTCTGCCTGGTGGATTGTTCAGATGCTTGGCAAACCCTCGGATTTCAGACTTAAATTTGGGTACAAATACTTCGTCGCGATCCAGGGAACCAGTGTTTGAATGGTGGCGCCTGTGACTGAATTTCCACGAAAAGTATGGGACGAGGAGAGCAGAATGTAGGATCAAGCCAACAGTGTCATCGAGCCATTGGTAGTTGCTAAACGCATGGTGGCCACATTCATGGGCTATGACCCAAACACCAGTTAGGATACAGCCTTGGCACATCCAATAGAGTGGCCAGGCTAGGTTGGAGAGAGGTTGAGGTAGGTTTTGGAAATAGTTGGTGGCAATATAGAAGAAGAGAAAGGCAATGGTGAGGTCACATACGAGATAGGAGAAAGATTGAGGAATAGAACGCTGGAAACAGTGGGGAGGGATGACTTTCTTGAGTTCACCGAGTGTGAATGGAGGTTTTGAGTGTGGAACTCGTTGGAGAACGTCAGATTTTGACTTCTTGCCCTCGAAAGATCGGCCTCCAGCACCCATTCTTCAATTACCTGCGGAAGGCAGAGAACAATAATAAGTTAAAAATTGGGATGCACTCATGCACATTGAAGATCACATATATAAATCTGCGGCCTTTGTTCAGAAATCCCAATGAAGAAAATTTTCTTCAATCTGCATTAATCACTCAACTACTTTCAAGAGGAATACAACGGCAGATATTTCTGTGGAATTCAACTTGTCCATTATTACAGCATACGAAGTCTCATCAAAGAGAACCATGCCGTCGGAAAGTATTCAATTATGGACTGTGAGTTTTGTCTCCACCTGTGTACGAATATTGACCTCTAAAAAGGTCACAATCTGCTATCCCTTTAAAGAATCAGGAGTACTTTTTTTAATTCAATGAGGAGGAAAATACAGACGAAGATTGCTGGTAATGCCATTTAATGTTTGACTTGATTTGGATCTAAAAAAAGAAGATTGGTGGTAATGCCATTTATTGTTTGACTTGATTTGGATCTAGAAAAAGCTGCATGATTAGAAATCTCATAAAGTATTTGGACATGTTCAACAGATAGTTTGTAGACCATATGTCTGCAATTTCGGGTATATATCAATAATACAGAGATAAAGAAATACATATGGTAGCCGGGTGAAGACTATATTTGGCTAATTATGTCAAAACTATAATTACAGAAAAATTACTACTCTAATTAGAAGATTACAGCCCCAATTAACTTCATTTTATAGCTCATGTCAACACTCTTCCTCAAGTTGGTGCATGTAGATCTTTAATGTCCAACTTGTCAAGTGAGTTGTGAAAGTTCTTGCTACACACAACTTTGGTAAGAATACCTGCCAATTGATCTTCGGACTTAACAAACGGGAATCGAATTATCGTGGCTTCAAGGTTCTCTTTGATAAAATGCCGATCCACATCTACATGTTTTGTTTGATCATGTTGGACTGGATTATGAGAGATATCAATAGCAGCCTTGCTGTCACAATAGAGATCCATCTCACAGTTTGGAGTGAAGCCAATTTCTATCAATAGTCTTCTTAGCCACAAGAGTTCACAAAGAACTTTAGCCATCCCACAGAATTCTACTTCTCCACTTAATAGAGCTACGGCCTTTTATTTCTTACTTTTCCATGTCACCAAGTTCCCCCAACAAATGTAAAATACCTCGAGGTGGACTTTCTATCAGAAATATTTCCAGCCCAGTCAGCATCTGTGTAGCCTTCAATCTTTAGGTAATTGTTCTTTGAAAGCATAAGTCCCTTTCTAGGGGATGACTTTACGTGCCTAAGAATTTGGATCATTACATGGTACCTTCCTTTGTTTGTTGGCACTTGGTCAGGGTATTCTCCAAGTTTGTGATTCTGGACAATTGGTGTATCTGTAGGTTTACATTCTAGTAATTCAACTTCTGATAATAGGTCTAAAGTATATATTCATTGAGAAAGAAATATACCTTACTTGGATCTAGCAACCTCAATTCCTAGAAAGTACTTGATCCCTCCGAACAATTTCATTTGAAACTCAACCACCAATTGTTTTTGGAGTCTTGAAATATCATCCTGATCATCTTCTGTAATAATCATGTCATCTACATACACTATCAATGCTGTTATCTTGCTTCCTCAATATTTCAGGAAGAGAGTATATCTGAGTTACTCTGTCGAAAACCATACCTTCTCATAGTTAGGCTAAGTCGTCCGAACTAGGTTCGAAGAGATTATTTCAAGCCATATAGTGTTTATTGTAGTTTACACACAACTTTAGCAAAAGTCGTCACATACCCTGGGGGAACATCCATATGGATCTCCTCCTCGAGATCTCCATGGAGAAAGGTATTCTTCACGTCAAATGATTCAACGGCCAATCCAGGTTCCCTGCAAGGGATAGTAGAACTCTAATAGTATTTAATTTCGCATCTACCCCATATGTCTGCGTATAGCCTTTTGCTACTATTATTGCTTTGTAGCACTCGATTGTTCCATCAGCTTTGTATTTGATAGAGAATACCCATTTGTACCCTACTATCCTTTGTCCCTCAAGTAAAGGAACAAGGACCCAAGTCTTGTTCTTCACTAATGCCTCCATTTCTTCTTTCATAGCTTGAACCCATCTTGAATCTTTCAATGCCTCATCAATACTTGTAGGAATAAGATGCAAAGATAAATTGTTGGAAAAGTTTTTGAGTGGTTCAGGAAGTCTCTTTATAGATACATAATTAATAATAGGATATCTCGAACTCTGTGACTTGATCTCGGGTGAGTATCTGCTTGGTGGTTTTCCATGATTATACTTGAAAGGTAGCTTATAACAACGATCGGCCTTATTATTTGAGATAATAGGTGTTGCAGGAAAACTTACATCGGTGATATTCTCAAGAGATTGGTTGTTAGGTATTGAGGAGTGGGAGGTACTATTTCAGCTTCAGGAGATATATCAAGAGTTGGTTCCTTATCGATTGATTGAGTAGTAGTTGGTACTGTTATTTCTGTATTCTCAGTGCCACTATTAGTGCTACTAAACTAGTCAAACCTCATCCAATTTAACTCTTAATCGTGTGTCTCTCCCTGAAGAGAAGAATTGGATGCAGGGAAAAAAGGTACTGTTCTTGAGGAAAGTAACATCTATAATAACATAGGTTTGTCGAGTAGTCGAATTGTAATAGCAATAACCTTTCTAATGGATGGCATATCCTAAGAAAAGGCACCGAAGATCATGCGGATCAAGTTTTGTGCATTGGTTTTTGTAATGATGTACAAAGGCTACACACCCAAAGATTCGAGGTATAATCATCAATGCACGAGGTAAGGTAACATAGGTAGACCGAGTTCGCAATGGAGTCTTGAACTCAAGTACTTTGGATAGAATATGATTGATTAGGTGCACAATAGTAGTCACCACATCTTACCAGTAAGAACTTGGAAAATGTGCCCCAAGTAGAAGTGCTCAAGCCGTTTTAGGAAAGTGGCAATTTTTTCGCTTTGCTATACCATTCTGTTGAGGTGTCTGAGGACATGATGTTTCATGAATCAGTCCATAATGATGAAAGTACTCATGAAACTGATCATTTACATACTCACCACCATTATTGGACCTAAGGATCTGAAGCTTAGCTGAGTACTGAATCCGAATCATATCATGAAAAGATTGAAAAATAGTACAGATATCATTTTTCTATTTCAATAAATATTGTCAAGTCATTCAAGTGCGGTCATCGACAAAAATCAACCAGCAGAAACTAGAGAGATTAGGTTTTGAGGAAGGCCTCCACACATATCAGAGTGAACTAATGCGAATAGAACTTCACTCTTATTCATACGTAATGGATAGGCTACTCGATGATTTTTAGCTAAAATACAAATTTCTCACTTAAAATCCAAAATAGACAATTCAGAAAATATGCCAGGAAACAAATTTTGCAAATAACCAAATGAAGGATGACCTAGCCGACGGTGCCAAAGTCGAATCTGTTTTGCCTTGCTATCACTCGGTTGACCAACATGATGTACTCGACCCATGCTAAAATCATCCATATAATAGAATTCCCCCTCTTAGCACCACGCTCAATGATCTCTTTCGAAATAATATTCTAAATAAGACAATATTCCGAGTGAATAAGTACAGTACAATTGAGCTATTTGGCAATGACTGATAGAAATCAGCTTATGAAAAAAAGGAAGGTGCAAGTAAAGTATTGGATAGTGATAAAGTTTGTGATAACATTACAGTGCCAGCCCCTTTTACTGAAGAGATATCCCCATTAGCAATGGCAATACTAGCCTGCCGATGAGGAGTATGTTAACAAAAATCTCGTGTATCAAATGTCATATGGTTAATTGCTCCGGGATCAAGAATCCATGTATTGCAATCATTATTGTTATTAAATCCGAGTAGGGCCATACCTGAAATGAGGGTGGGAGGTTCGATCGAAATGAGGGACACGTGCAGTTCTACTACAGCAACTACAACCTTACTAGTATTAGCATCATTAGTGGCTCGATCACACCTCTTCTTGGCTTGAAGATCTACCATCAATTTGGATATCCATTTAATTTAAAGCACACGTTACGGGTCTGATTAGTGTTCCCATAATGAGAGCATTTGGTCCTCTCAGTATTGATCTTTTGCTTTTGGTGAAAATTAGCATTTGACATGTTGTTGTTCAAAGACAAAGGCCCAACATTGGAGGCTGAACTCGAGCCATTCTTGAAGCTTTTGGATGCCAAGACTACTCCAAGAATGTTTTTCATGCTTCCAGATTCTATCATCACAACCTGTTGGACCGCTGCTCTATGGACATGGGCATATGCTTGCTCTACTGTAGGAAAGGTTTCTGTTTTCAAACAACTAAAAATGTCCCATAAGGTCTGGACACTTACTTCTGTAAAGTTCGGACATTAATCGTTTGAAGTAACGACCATCCCTTTTTTGGTAGCTAATCGATCGAGATTTAGTTCATGAATGAGGTTTGATTAGTAACTCTAGTCTATTCAGACCGAACTTTCTGTTACACAATCTCCCTCCAATTCTAGGTGAGGCCTTAACTTTTTGAGTTCATTTTTATTCTTATTGCCTTCTGGAATTTTGATCTTAGTTCATGTTTGTGGAGCCTAGTCTCAAGATGGGGAGCTTTAGGAAAGCTCTCGAATCCTCAGTCCTTTTAGAGAATAAAAGAGAAAAGCACCAGTTAAGCCTAAGGTCCCTTTAGTTCAACGATCAAAGCCAAATCTTCAAATGGCATACTTCCTCTAGCCCCAGTTCTATCTCCTTCTCCTCCATCCAAGTTGGATCCAATCATTCCTTCCCTTAGAGAGTCTTTCTCCAGGCTATTTCTCCAACTAGGTCTAGTTCTTTGTATCCTGGCATACCTAGGCTCAATTTGATCGAGCTCACAGAAAATCGACATTCCTTAGAAATCAGCTCACCTATTTATCCTAGAGTTGGATTGATCATGAGCAAAGCTTCCTGCAGCCAAATGAGCATGAATGAATCTTGTATTATAGAGGCTATTTATTCCACCAGTCCATTCTCTATATGATGTCAATTTCGAAGAAGGTATGATTTGTCACTTTGTCTTTTTTTGTCAAGTTATTTGACTTATTTTCTTGTTTCAACTACAATTAGGTGAATGCTGAGTTGGAGGCCATCCAAATTGTTAGGCAATTTGTTGTCAAATGACCTTCCCGGACTATGATGTAATTTGATTTAATTCTCAATCGACTTTGACTAATGATTAAATGGAAAATATAACTTCACAATCGAGACGACTTGACCCAAAGGTTAATTGGGCCATTTAAAGCAACTAAATATTA